ATTAATCTACTCAGTGATGGAGAGTAGTGTGGTATCAGCTGGTTGGCTCAATTGATAGGGAAGCAGGGCTGGGACCTGGGAGACCGGGGTTCGAATCTCACCGGGAGTGTGTCGATGTAAACACATTGTTTTGGTTTTTAACAACTGATGGGGTCACAATACCAAATGATATCCCCATTTGTGTCACGTCCTTTGAAAAGCACTTACATGTTTTTTGTCCCATTGGATTTATAACATTGATTTTGACTTGAAAAGCTATAATCATTCATCATTAAATATGTATATAAATATGTGTGTGTGTGTGTGTGTGTTAGAGCAGACAACTGTACCAGTACATTATATTTTATTGTCATTTAAAATATATTCATTTTCACTACTGATATTGATTATAATGAAACAGATGAATGAATGGGTCATACACAATCAAATTAAATTTTTATTTCTGTTACCAGTATTAATTCCTATGCAGCAAGAGCCTCACAAACAGTTCAATTGTCAATACAGATTTTGACCAACAGGAGGTTTGTGAGCATATGAAGCATCAAGAAATGAACCTTTTCTCGAACCAATGGATGAAAAGGTTCAACACTTCATGAAGCTTCATCAACCCATCACTAAATAAAACTACACTGTGACAAGGAAGGCTAAATGTGACAGTGGCGTGGTGGACATTACCTGGACAATGTCGTGACAAAGAGACAGAGTGGTGTGCTTCTGCTGCTTAAACCAGCAGACTGAAGTGAGCTGATTGCCTCCACCTGTGTGACCACACCCCAAACGAAAGACACACCCATGCACACACAAACTCCAAAGTAAAGACACACACACAAAGAGGCGGGGATACAGCTCTACCATGTTACACCTGATTGCTGCAGGTGAGTGTGATTGACTGATTGCTGTTGCCCACAGCAACAGCAGTTGCTGGTGATTGCCCCTGATGACCACATTCCAGGGATAAACCAGTGCTTAGGTGACTTAGACCAGTCAGTTAAACTGAGCCTCAGAAACTTAGGTGTTATTTTTGATAAGGACATGTCATTAGTGCAGCACTGTAAACAGCTGACCAGGAACTGCTTTTTTCAGCTGAGGAGAATCTCCAAAGTCAGAAAAATGGTTTCACAGAATGATTTGGAGGTGATTATTCATTTGTTTGTGTCTTCGCGTTTAGACTATTGTAATAGTCTGTTTTCTTATTTAAATAAGAAAGAACTGTCTCGCCTGCAGTTAGTGCAGAACTCTGCAGCGAGAATCCTGACCCGCACAGGAGGAGGACGCACATCACCCCTGTCCTGAAAGCTCTCCATTGGCTCCAGTGTCCGACAGGATTCATTTTAAAATTCTGGTTTTAACCTTCAGAGCTTTGCACGGTCAGGCTCCACCTTACATCAGTGACCTGATCCAGCCTTACACCCCAGCCAGGGCTCTGAGGTCTGTGGATCAGAACCTCCTGATGGTTCCACGCACTCGCTGCAAGACCAGAGGAGACAGGTCCTTCCAGGCTGTCGCTCCCAAGCTTTGGAACGTTCTCCCGCTCTCTCTGCGTTCTATAGAGTCTGCTGAGTCCTTCAAAAGTCAACTGAAACATATTTATTTGTTCAGGCTTTTGCATAAATTTGTCTTTCTGTATTTGACATGGTTGTCTTGGCCTTTAAAAATGTGTATGTCTATTTTATACTATGTCTGTTTTTATTTTATGTGAAGCGCTTTGTGACCCTGGTCTGTGAAGGGCGCTATATAAATAAAGTTTACTTACTATATAAATAAAGTTTACTTACAGTGCAGAGCTGGGTTCACATGTCTCTGAATTTGCGCATAAGCTTCATAAATACTGGTCCATTTATCCTCACGTGTACACATTTATCACATCTTCAGATGTTCGTCGGATAATTTACTGTATGTATCTAAATCATTAACATTAATCAAGATGAATGAACTTCAATCACACTGTAGGACGACTGCTACAACCATAATATTCACTTTCCTCATCAGTCTTTTCATATCGGCAACCCATATGGTGCAGATGAAAGCCAGATCCTGTCAGACCTCTGAAGCTAAGCAGTCAGAGACTGGTTAGTATTGTGATGGAAGACCTCAGGAAACACCAGGTGACACAGTGGGACGGTGGTCGGAGAGGCTCATGGCATCCTCGCTTCTGTAATTGTACCCCAGGGCAGCTGTGACTGCAATAAGAGCTTATAACTCTTCTGTATGGAGTGAATTAATAATGTGAAGCATTTTTGTTTAAAACCAATGTTTTATCATAATTATTAAAATAATCATATAAAGGAAAACCCCTTTCATCTCTTGCTTGTTATATTGTGGGTTGATTTGTGTTGCTCTTGAAAAACCGTTGCCATTTTAAAAGAGATATAAACCAAACAAATGTTATTAATCAAAAAAGCTTTCATTTTGATTGTTTTTATTTTGTCTTGTCCTGGTGGAAAAACAGAGATTTTGAAGCATGCTTTTTCACAAACCTGGGCACGTAATCAGAGGAGGCTGCTGGTTCCAAATGTTGCCGGGCTGTAATCTCCCAGATTAAACCTAAACCCATCGCAATGAAGAATATTCTGTCGTCCGGTTTTCACTTAACATTTCCTTGTAATCCTTCCAGACAGATCTTTGCTTTAACACCAAGGCTAATGCAAAAAAAATAAAAACTGTGTATTTTTACCTTCCAAACCTGTACAGCTGGCAAGGTTTTATTTTGTTAATATTGATCACAAATGTTATCCTGCATTTCACTGGACTCTGAAGAAAGCTAACTGATTAAAGGTGGGGTACCTAACTTCCAACCACAAAAATAAAAGTAAACATTGGATAGTTCCTTGTTCCTCTGTTTGGTTCTATCCGACAGACAAAAGACAGACACAGTTTAAAGAAAGGAATATCTTCCCTCAGCCAATAACCCTCAGTGACTCACGGCTGCATGGGTCTTCTCAAGGTAACACGTTTTCCAGAAAGATGAACCCACCTTGTTGTGGTCAATGTGCACAGATATACAAAATTCATTTACAAGACTTATTCTGCTGAGATAAACAATTTGTGTTATTCATGAAAAAGTGAAAAACTCCAGCAACGTAATGCCAAAATAATTATCCTCTCACTTAATCGTCTCCTTTAATGAATCAATTTAACGCACGTCCACAATATCAACTCAACACAGCCATTTCATTTGACTGGGCATGTCAGCTGCTGCACCCCGACTCCAGGAGGCGCGCACACGCACAGACGCATCCACGCGCACGCTCCTCACTTTCACCACACGCGCGCGGCTCCAACACTTGTTCCTCCGCCACACGCAGCTCCATCGCAGGATTCAGAGGTTTAGAATCAACTTTTTCGACCCCTTTTGTATCTCCCGTGATTGGAGCGGAGTGGTTTGGCACGGCTCCTCCTGCTGCTGCTCCTGCTGCTGCTGTGGTGACTGTGGACCTGCGCGCACTGGAGAAGGGACTGTCCATGACCCGTGCGCATTGACGGGTTTTACACTTGGCACGACCGCTGCTTCTTCTGAATACGCGGGGGATGCTTGATTTCCATTTACAGTAAGTTTATTGATTGTAAACGACATTTTAAAGAGGTCTCAGTGATGTTAACGTGTAAATTAAGTTAAAGCTTTCTGTGTGTTTTATAGTCGTGTTAATTGTGCCAATTAGTGGGATGTGATTAGTGAAGCCGGGTGCAGCTCTGACTGCCGCCCCCCGACCCAGAAATGGATTAAGGGGAAGAAAATGAATGAATGAATGAATGATTAGTGAAGCCTACACTTGTCTACGCGTTAAATCTGTCAACCATTCTAATTGGATACAACATACATACTAGCGTTTCTTATTGTTTTTTTTTCATGTTTTCCGTCAGTAAAACGTATCAGGCTGGTTGAGAGAGCTCTGTCACTGGGATCCAAATCAAATAGAGGTTAAACGCAGAAATAAAATCCTAAAATAAGAAATGTATTACAGTTTTGGACATCTGTGATTTGAATGTGCTATGTTTTTATTATTGATGGGGTGTGGTGAAAAATGAGTGGTCGTGGTGGTCGGGGCTGATGACACAGTTTAGTAGCCTTGGCATACATAAATCTGCCCCAGGACTGCTGTGGCTACAACAGTAATTATTACCAGTGTTTGGAGTGAATGAATAAAAAGCATGTGAAGGGTCTTTGGTTGTCATGAGAATGCCACATCACTGTAAAAAATAATAAAATTTGAGGTAATGATGGCTTGATTCAAGTGTTTTTTGAAATCATAATTTGAGTACTTTCTGACTGTCTTAAAACAAGATTTGCCAATGAGACAAAGCCATTTTAGTCTTATTTCAAGAATTGTTGCTTTATTTTCTCATTCCAAGGGAAACATTTCTTGTATCTGTTTAAAAAAAGAGAATTTTGCTTCTCCCATTTGCAAATATTGTTTTAAGGCTGTCAAAATGTGTTCAATTAAGATACATTCTGCCAAATATTATATTTCATCTTTTTTTTGCAGTGTATATGCATTATTTATGTATTTTAACATAATGACACTCTAGCTCCTACCCCCACAACATAAAAAAGATGCAAATAGACTTGAAATGGTGAAATTGAACTTGACATCCATCTGTAAGTCTTCCATTCACTCCCTGTAAAGTCACAAGTGCTATCTAAATTCCACGTATACCTACTTTCTTTTTTTTCTGGGTATGATGACTCACCAAGTAACACAATCCACCAGGTTGTCAAAAATGTCACATATGCCAAAATGATTAGAGCGTTAAGCATGGGGTGAGTTATGCGTTTGGATGTGTGATAAGAGGATGCATTCTCTGTTCCAGGCAGGCTTTTCGTTGAAGTACCCGGCCGTTTGAGCTATCTGTATTCTGGAAAGCAAGTCCCCCAATCAAACCAATTCTCCTGGTTAACCTCACCACTCTGCTACACGCTCACCATGATACTTATTTGACCTTCTCTGACCGTACTCCGCTATTGGGAAAAGCGCAAATTAGCGTGAAGCGAGGAAGAAATCATGGCTTACTCCAGCGGCAACAACACAACCGGAGCATACGGCGTTCCGGCAACGGTCCTCGATCAATACATGGACAGCTACGAGGTGGACTATGGCGTTCTCCCGGAGGAAATCCCGGACACGTCGCAAGGACAGGCTTTCTACGTGGCCACCATCGTGATCGGAGTGGTGCTGGTGTGCATCATGCTGGTTTGCGGACTGGGGAATTTCCTCTTCATCGCCACGTTGACGCGGTACAAGAAGCTGAGAAACTTGACCAACTTGCTGATCGCCAACCTGGCCATCTCGGACTTCCTGGTGGCGGTGGTGTGCTGCCCCTTCCTGGTGGATTACTATGTGGTGAAGAAGCTCTCCTGGGCGCATGGGCTGATCATGTGCGCGTCGGTCAACTATTTGCGGACGGTGTCGCTGTACGTGTCCACGAACGCGCTGCTGGCCATTGCTGTGGACAGGTATGTTATTCTACACTGGAAAAAATGAGGAAATATGAGGCAATAAATGCTTGGATTATGTGTTTTTTATCTTAAATTGAGTTTATTGTGACTGTCTTAAAACAAGATTTGCCAATGGGACTAAGCCATTTATCTTATTTCTAGAAATGTTGCTCTATTTTCTCATTCCAAGGTAGACATTGATACTTATATCTTTTAAAAACATGATGGATTTGCTTGTCCCATTGGCAAATTTTGTTTTAAGGCAGTCAAGTTGTGCTCATATTACAAGACATTTTTCATATTTGAGCAATGTTTGACTTATTCTTCATCACTATTTGCAGTATGAATGTGTGTACCTGTGTACGTGTGTGTCTGTGTGTACTGTACCTGTGTATGTATGTGTGTACCTGTGTATTTGTATGTGTGTGTGTACATGTGTATGTGTGTGTGTGTACCTGTGTTTGTGTGTGTATATTACTGTATGTTATTGTATGTATGTAATGTTATTTATTGCTGTGATCCAAGCCAAGGCCGTGTGGATATGTGGCCAAACGGTGTCAGAGGGCAGGGCCATCTGGAGATAAAAAATGATCCGTGAGCAAAAGAATGCCCAAGTTTGATGATATTATTGTGTTTCAAAAGATGTTCATTGGGCACATTGTAACCAAGTCTAGGTAAGCTCTGGTAATCGACCCATAAATATTTTAATAGTGCGATAAAATCCATCTCACTCCTGTGGGTTCCTCGCACTCAAAACTGTTCAGTTCATTTTTGGCCTAGTTTTTGTCACGTCTTTAAATCAGCTTTTCAGATGAACAAGTCTGAAAACAAATGTTGAGTACCCCGGCTTTAAGTTATGTGTGCAAATATGAAAACATATTATAATAATAATAAAGCTTACTTATTCACTGACAATAAGTGAATGAGAACATAAATGTACTCTAAATCATAAACAAACCTCCCTCTTTACCAATGAAAGAAAGTAAAATGTAGTTTACAAATATCCTTTTTTTGTGAATCAACTGTCAGTTTAACCATTTGAGAAGATGCACCATAAGATGCTCAGGATTAGTCTGAAGTTACGTCCATGTAGTTACTATCATGGACCAGGGGCCCCTGGGGGTCCAGACTGTCCTGGTCACAGGTATTACTGCCATAAGCTGGTCCCCAGCAGCTTGGAGGTTGGTCCCTCGTGGTACTGCAGCCTAAACTGAACCGGGAAGCAAAGAAAATGTTCCCATTGACCTTAAAGTGAAGCAGAACGACTTGTCTCAGATGACAAGGACCTACAGCTTCCACACATTTTAGTTTTTGTCCTTGTCAGACTTTTTTTTTCTTTGGATACCCATCAGTTTTGTGTAAATCCTCACATTTGTGCAGATTGTCTCGTTCAGACAGAGACAACAGGAAAGTAGCAATGCACAAACAACGGTTTAAAGTCAGACATACTGTCAGCAACATAGGAGATACAGGTGACACTTCACATTGGGCTTCTCTGGACACAGTCGTGATGATGACGTGGATCAGGCTGAGATCCAAGCCGCTCCTGGAGGTTCCTTTCCTCACTCTTTCTTCACGTTTTTTTGCCCGACGCTTTTTGAATCCTCCTTGTCCTGGCAGCTGGTATTCGAACCGAAGAAACGTCCAAACAACACTAGTATTAAGGATGCAGGATCCACACAATTACAGTGAGGAAAGCTGAAGTCATAAATCTCACTGCCATTGTCTCCAGTTGTGAGTCATTGTATATTATTCTTTCTGAGTAAGGTGAACAAGAGTTTCTAAACCAAACCTGAACAGTCTGAAAAGAAATCATGTTTATGTGCCAATTAGCACACCTTAACCCACATAGGAAGTCAGTTAATAGACAAATGTTGAATAAGGTCAGGTAGAACAAGGACAAGGATGATGAGCGCTTAATAAATACCAATTCAAAGCTAATTAACCATAAATGATACACTAATTGACACTAAATTAGCTGATTATTATTGAAGGATAAACAACAAAATATTCCCTGGAGTTTATATTGGGATTTACAGTGTACAATAAGTATTTTCCATCCAAAATACTGACAGAGGAATTACATTTCATTACAAATAGCTGTTTTTTGCACACTTTAAATGCATTTCATTATATAGTCTTGAGGTTTTAGTTTATGCACATATAAATTGCATATTTAGATAAAGTCCAGTTGTGACGGATGAAAAAAAAAAAGTGTATTCAAGGGTTGTTATGGTGTGGGCCTTGCACTATTCACTATATTCTTTATATACTTACTCATATTTGTTATGTGGTAAATATATGTACTTTTTTGAAGCATGGACTCCTCCTATTGGTCCGTCTGTGTGAAGGTCTGAACGACAGGTGGATTTAGCCAATAACTGAATGTTTTTAATGTAATTATATATTTATTGATCTAGGAAGTCCCATCCAGTTTGACACGGCTCCAGCTATTTTTTGTTGCCATGTTCACGCCCACCCCTAAAGATTGACACAACAATGTATTTAATTGTGTAACAACTGTGTAACTATTTTAACTGTACTAATTCATTTAAAGAAAAAAAATGCTCTATCTAAAAACAAAGTATTATTCCAAAAACATAAAATAAAATCTAAATTCAGAGTAAAAAAAATTCACCATAAATCCTTCCAGAGATATTCAATCCAATGTCCAAAGCTCCCAGCTCAGTTCAAACCACTGATGCAATCGAAAGAACTAATTAATTAATTAATTAATTTTCATTATTTTCTTGCTGTCAATCTAGTGTAATCTCTTTTTGGATGAGATCAATTAAAGCTGGCTAAGAATTATTTGTGAAAATCAGGGCAAGACTCCTTCTCCCGTCTGTGGCTTGGTGTATGACCCGTGTTCGTCTCTTCAAATTTGCATAAACATGATTCCCAGAGAACATCTTCTATTCCTTCTATTTTTCTTGAGGACTGACCTGAAGCAATTCCAGCTTTAGCCCTGACACACTTACTTACATATGCTCCTATTGCATGCACCAGTCAATTATGTGCTGTCAGCAGTGGATTAAAACAAGTATATATGACTACAACACACTACGCCAGACCTAGGGTTATAAATACACTAATACATGCAACGCAAAATATATTCTGACACTGTTCAATATATGTTTTTTCTCCCAAGTGGTCGGCTATCTATGGAACCACATCCTCAGTGAAGTGGATGGATGTTCTTTGGTCTGAATGTGATCACTTTTATGTTGAAAAGCCGAGGCGATCCCAGTGATGATTTATCAAAGACATTGGTGCAGGCGAATCAGTACAATACTAGGGGCCCTTTAATGTCACTCCTCATATGCTGTACAGGGCAGCACTATAGCACTAAGCTTCTACAGACCACTCTATCCCTCAGTTATTAGGTGTATGTGGACTGCTTTTAAAACCCCATGTGACTTAGAGACGAAAGAGTAAATAATAAAGACATATAATGAAGTCTGTTTTTTGTATGCTTTGCCACAAGCAGAAATAATGTGTCACTGGGATTGGCCCTTTGTCACAAAGGCCTCCGGAGTATCTCTTGTTCCCTTCACCACATTATATAACATCATGGCTCCCACAGAATATAATATTGCATTGGTTGTATGTAATGCTTTTTTGGACACACATATTCTACTGTAGCTGCCCTGGGGCACTCTGACAGAAGCAAGGCAGCCAATCCGACCACCACCTATATTTCACGCACACTCACCAGGCTCATTCTAGGCAATGTGGGTGAAAAATCTTGCCTAAGGACACAACAACACTTTCCCAGAAGTCTCCCATCACAGTTCTGAGCACGTTCTGCCCTACTTAGCTTCTGAGGTCTGTCAAGATTTGGCTTTCACATGCAGTTGCAGCGACTTGACTTGTGCCTCCTCGGAGAATATACAGATGCGCATTTTTCCTTTTCTATTTCCATGGAGGTGATGGTCCATCTCCAAGAAGATACATCGTTACACCAGAAACAGGAGCAATCACGTCAGTCGTAATAAATAACACATGTATTTAATCCTGAACAATCAATGGACTACTCACTCATTGTTCTGTCTGAAAAAGCTGATCCAAAGATGTGACAAAGACCAAGAAACACAGGCATTTGAGAAATAGTGTTGAACTGTTCTGAGACCTATGGTATTGCATTGTTCCATTATGTCTTTAAAGTTAGCTACCCCAGCGTTTACCTGCCATTCACTAACTAAACACAATTTAAACCCAGTTATTGTCTTTTCCTATCTAGAAGTGATGACATACAGAGCAAGCATTATGAAAATTAACTACATGTCCATTGAAATGCTAATTTGGAATCAGCAGTGGTCCCTTGTCCCCTCAATTAAATCCTATTCATCTCATTGTCGTGAGGTTGTGTGCTTTGAACTTTAATTCATTCGTTAATCTTTTGTATGTGCTGTATGTCATTTCAGTGTGTGTGTGGGTTTGTGTGTGTGACTACTTTGCCTTACAAATGAGACCTGGGACTTTTTTTTGTAACCCTTCTTGTTTTTGTTTTTTTTCAGGTACATGGCTATAGTCCATCCACTGCGGCCGCGCATGAAGTACCAAACGGCCTACCTGGTCATCACCGGAGTCTGGATCATCCCTGTCTTGATCTCCGCCCCTTCCGCTTACTTCGCCTCAGCACATACTTACACCACATCCCCCACCAACCCCAAAGTCTTCTGCGCTCAGATCTGGCCGGTGGAGAAGCAGGTCTACTACCGCTCTTACTTCATGTTCATTTTTGCCGTGGAGTTCATCGGCCCCGTGATCGTCATGACCTTGTGCTACGCTAGGATATCTCGCGAGCTGTGGTTCAAGAGCGTCCCGGGTTTCCCGACGGAGCAGATCCGGAAGAGGCTGCGATGTCGTCGGAAAACCGTCATGGTCCTCATCGCCATCCTCACCCTGTACATCCTGTGTTGGGCGCCGTACTACGCCTACACCATAGTGCGCGATTTCCACCCGAACTTCATCACGCGGCAGAAGAACTCGCTGGTGGCCTGGTACATCATCGAATGCATCGCCATGAGCAACAGCATGATCAACACATTCTGTTTCGTCAGCGTCAAAAACAACACGGTCAAGTATCTGAAGAAGATCGTGCTGATCCGTTGGAGGTCCACCTACGCTCCCAACAAAACCGTGGACGAGATGGATATGAGGACATTTTCCGTGCCAATCACAGAGGAAATTGAGTGCATCCACTTAAGGTGAAGCCATCAAGCTGTGAAGGGGCTGAAAGCAGCGACGGGACATGAAGTGACACAAAAAGCAGTTGTAAAAACGTCTCGATAATAACAAAGGCGCAGCTGACATTGCTTTGTAGTGTGATTATTTTTGAAGGTAGCAGACAAAATGAGCTCTGTAAAAAGTATTCTGAATGTCAGGCGCTTACTCGATGATTGCCGTTTAAGGATGTAATAGCAGTTGTTGAACTACATGGAGACGATTTTCATGTTTTGCAAAACAGTTTGAGTTGGACCTTAAGACCTGCTTCATGCACCTTGTGGATTACTGACCTTCAAGATGTCTCGGCAAACAGCGTAAAATATTTCTATAACAACATTATTTCCATAACACAATTGGTATTTAAAGCAATCCAGAGAGCATTGCAAATATGAAATAAAACATTCAACATGAACAATAAAAAGATAATCACGATACATTTATTTTTAAATTTGTCAAATCATTAAAGTAGTCGGGGCGACAGTGGCTCAGTTGGTAGAGCATTGGCCTATAGACCTGATGGTTGTGGTTTTGAGCCCACCACAATATCTACTTCACGACTCCCACTGATGTCTGCTGTCGTTGTGTCCTTGGGCAAGACACTTAACCCCACTGTACCTGAAGCCCCCACTGAAAGATCAAGGCTCCTGTGGACTCACTACCTGCAGGAGGATCAGTGAGGGGCTGATCCCCCCCCCCCCCCGACCCAGAAATAGTAGAAAATTGATGGATGGATTAAAGTTGGAAGCCTCGCGTTTTAAGTGCGATTTGTGCTGCATACTTTCGGACAGTAATGAATGTGGCATCATACTGCAACAATTATCAGTTTTTATTTTTATGTGAGGACCTTGAACTCAAGTTAGCAATTTATAGGAATGATATAGAGACTATGGGTGCCAATCAAGTGCCACCTGGTCCTGTGGTTACGTAAGTGTGACCACACCCTGAAACTATCCTCTCATATTCCCCTATTCCTTTTCAGAGATAGGACCCTGTAGTTTGTAGTTTCTTCATTGTGAGAAAATAAAGTTTATCTTATCTTAGTTTGCCTTATGACTCTTTTCTATAGCAAATACAATATTTTGGCAATTACCATGATAAGATTCAAAACAGCACTTTTTGAAGCTATTCTGGGAAAAAATTAATTGCACAAATTTACACAGTGGACAGTGCCTCCTGACTTGTTCTGGTGAGTAAACATCACCACTCTCTCCCATTGTGTGTCTGTGGGGTTTTCCAGAGCATTGCTTCTTTAATTAGATATACTAAAAGGCGTTGAAGTGGCCCTAATTATCGCTGGCGTAAACAAACTAGAAACTGTGGTTATACCATTGACTCTACACTCTTGTGATGTCATATAAACATGACTTATTAGGTTCAGTAATATGATAGCAGGATGGAATAGACGTAGCCTGGTCTTAGTCATCCGTAAGCTCTCAATTATAGTTTCCCTACATGTACGTCTGGGTCTGATCTTAGTGGCTGCAGTTATCTTGGTTGAATCCCCTCCGACCATTCAGCGAGCGGGGCAGGCCAGTGTTGTAGGCAGGTGTCGGTGACGTCAAGAGTTTGCGCCGAGTTTACTGGTTGTAGTTTTGCAATGGCGGCGAATCTAATAGTAAAGGAAGCTCTTCAATCCGTTCTGGTTCATCGCCCAAATATCAAGAAATTGTAGCTGGAGCAAGAAGAATGTTTAGCAGATTTCATTGCTGGCAAAGATATTGTGGCTCCATTAGTGGCAAAGAAGATGGCTAAAGCTAGGCTAAATGCTATAGCTAGGCTAAATGCTTGTGACTCACTCGGGCACCTTACGTACAGTACATCATGGCAAACTCAGATCCAATCTTTTCAATTTACAAAAGGAGTTAACCCCTCCCACCAGCTAACGTAGCTCAATTGAGCAAATCCAGACCTAAGTATGAAATGAAATGAGTACGATGGTATGATAAGACCAGGATAGAAGAGACGAGCAATCAAACGTAGAAATCCAGTTTAATTGTAATTTGGCACAATATGTATCTTCACACCAGCCCTATTCTAAGTCTGTTTGGTAATTATCATGTGAAAATTGTCTATCCAGTTACCGTCTCTATTCTCCACTGCACCAATATCTGCATCTGTACAAAACACTTGTTTTTCTTCTTCTAAACAAGGAGCCATCAAACTCACCAGCGTGAATATTTCAGTTGGGGTTAGGAGCACTTGTAATCCCCATCTCGAAAATGCCATTTTAGATTAACTGTTGACGCTGGTCTGTTGATGTCTCTCTGATTAGTTTATTCAGAGGCTATTGATCGTCTCCCCTGGAAACCCATTTTCAATTGAAGAACATTCATTTATTAAATCAAATTGAACAGAAACTTGTACATCCCCCCATTGCCAGGACCAGCATGTCTGTTTGCTGTGTTGTTGAAGAAAAAGGAGCCACGAACAATCCATTTGTTTTCTTTACTTAGATGTATGTTTGAGGAGATAAACGGCTTTGCTTTCGGAGGAACTGGACAAATCAGATTTCCGATAGATCCTGGGGAGCTATCTGGGTTATTTCAAGCCAGGAACTTTGTGTGCATCTGAATATTGTTGGCGTAAAAACATGAACAAAAGATGACAATGGCACCTTCGAACTTTTCATTGACTCCCTGCAGTCATCCAAAGGTGAAACAAGTGAAAGACAGCTCTGGGTAGCTCTTCAATATTGACGTTGCCATAATGTGCGCTCGCTGGTCAATCCAATATGGATTTTTCACACAGACAAATGGACAGTTGTAATCATTTGTATGTGACATGTTATATTGACACATCACTGTGGATTGTGTGTACATACTGTAAATGTCAAATTCTTTGTGACATGAAAAATTGCACGTGGACAGCTACTGTATTACACACTGCAAAAAGTGATGAAAAATAACTCAACACATTGCTCAAATTTGGCTGAATGTATCTTAATTGGAGCACATTCTGACTGCCTTAAAACAAGAATTGCCAATGGGACAAAGCAAAGTTATCTTGTTTTAAAAAGATACAAGAAATGTCTCCTTTGGAATGAGAAAAAAAACAACAGTTCTTGAAAAAAAACGTAATGGCTTTGTCCCATTGGCAAATCTTGTCAGAATTCACTCAAATCTAGGTAAAAACCACTTGATCCTTACCTCATATTTTATCATTTTTTGCAGTGCTTTGGTTGTATTTCTGGAAACCAATTCGAATAATTTAGCTTTATTTAGTTTTTTCCGTTCCAATAACAAAATTAAATGAAAAACTCGTCTGTTTTGAGTTGGACCAGTCGCGTATCAAAGTACTCATTTGTGCTTGTGTTAAAAGCATGCTCGCTTTCGTTCAGTACACAGGCGCCAGAATAACCATTTTGATTTTCCCCAAATAGAGTCTTGTTTTGCTTGACGCCTTTTACTAAATGATGCTCATAACAAAAAGCTAATTTTGCTAAGTCTAATTTGTTGGTTATTTGCTTATCTTTGCTCGGTGGTTATAGATTTGTTCAAGCATTGTTACAATAATAAAGTGGCTTTTTTAAACAATGTGAGTGGTTTTTTGAGTGTTTTTGCGCTGAATGTAACTAAAATGTTATTTTTCTGTTTGTTTTTAATTCATCCAACATTGTGAAGGTGATGCACCATGTCCTTATTTTAATGAAGTTTAAAAATGACCATTTCCTGGCAAGGCCATTCAGAGAAAACACTTGTTGATTAACTGAACGCAATGATACAACTTGACACTTGCTCCTGATTAATGTCCTTGGCAACGACGGAAATGGAAAAAGTGAATTCAGCAAATTTTAGTTTGTGTGAAATGACACCTATTTAATAAGTTCAACGTGACAAAAGCCACAGTTTGTCAAAATAATATTCATTTTGGGAAGAATCAGAATACTATACATACAATACAAGTTTGGTATAATTTACAGTTTAATGATTCACTCAATTTTAACATGTACGTTGTTCATGTTTATTATTATTATATTGTTAATGTGTGCAACAGTATCTGAATTAATTGATTATTAAAGATCATTTGAGCCCCACCCCCAAAACAAAATTACAATCAAACTTATAACAAAAATATTACAGAACAAGGACACAAAACAAACTACACATACACAACCTGGATTATGGAATAATCAAAACCATTTAAACAGAATAAGGAATAGATTATACAATAAGAGAGAGACACCACAGACAGAGACCAGAAAGAGAGACCAGATAGACTAGAGAGACTTGAGTGAGACCAGAGAGAGACTTGAAAGACTTGAGAGAGACCAGAGATAGAGACAGAGCGAGGCAAGAGAGAGACCAGAGAAAGACTTGAAAGACTTGAGAGAGACCAGAGTGAGAGACTAGAGTGAGGCAAGAGAGAGACCAGAGAAAGACTTGAAAGACTTGACAGAGACCAGAGAGAGAGACAGAGCGAGGCAAGAGAGAGACCAGAGAAAGACTTGAAAGACTTGAGAGACCAGAGAGAGACGTGAAAGACTTGAGAGAGACCGGGAGAGGCCAGAGAGAGACCAGAAAGAGCGACCAGAGAGAGAGACCACATAGATAGCTCGTGATCCTAGCTGCGTTCAGAATACAGCAGCTAGGATCTTAACAGTGGAGTTGGAGTGGAGGAGTGGATCTCCTCAAGTGGAGGAGTTCAAGTATCTCGGGGTCTTGTTCACGAGTGAGGGAAGAATGGAGCGTGAGATTGACAGGCGGATCGGTGCAGCGTGCGCAGTGATGCGGTCACTGTATCGGACCGTTGTGGTAAAGAGGGAGCTGAGCCGAAAGGCAAAGCTCTCGATTTACCGGTCAATCTTCGTTCCCTCCCTCACCTATGGTCATGAGCTTTGGGTAATGACCGAAAGAACGAGATCGCGGATACAAGCGGTCGAAATGAGCTTCCTCCGCAGAGTGGCTGGGCGCTCCCTTAGAGATAGGGTGAGGAGCTCAGTCACACGGGAGGAGTTCGGAGTAGAGCCGCTGCTTCTCCACGTTGAG